GTTGGGTACTTCGACAAAATTTAAGCAAAGAGGACTCTTTATACTTTTTAATTCTCTCTAGCTTTCAATGGACTTTGCCATCATCATCAGGAGCTGCAATTACAATGATAACAGTAGCAACAAAGGTGTAAAATGAATTTAAATTGACTCAACTTACAGTAGTATGTGAGGATGTTGCTAATTGTTGTTTACGTATAGGATGAGGGAAACGCCCAGTAACATGGTGAGAGCTGGATAGTTGTACAATGGTCAAAATTATATACAATATGACAAGAACAAGTTAAAAACAGATTAAAAATTATTTAAAAGACATTAGAGCATTACATCGTGAAGCCACCTGATGATTGCACAAATTAGTGGTCATGGAATAGTGAGTGACATGAAACCCTTTGACAGAAGGCCGAAGGATGTCAATGTCAGTGTTGAAAGATGGAACGAATTGTGGGCGTGTGCCCAAACGTTGCCAAATCACTTCAGATGATGAGATTTTCAGAATTTTATGTAAGAATTTGTTAAACCGACCAGAGGCAGTTGAATAAATTATATTTTTATTAATGGGAATTTAAATTAACAATTATTAATAAATCGTGAGGAGAGAATTATTATATTTTGAGTGGAATGAAATTTACTGGTGGAATCGGCCAAAACACAGATTCTAATTATGGTTGTGAAGAGTTGAAATTTGGGGAGATATGTAAGTTCTCCAATTTTTCGCAGTTTAGCAAATATGAGTAAATGACACTCAGTTGTTTAACATCTGTCTTTTTGTTGATACAGTTGTTATTCATGAAAATGTGGGACATTTCCAGGAATAAACGTTTGGAAAGGTGTTTTTCTTTATCAAGAACTTTGATACTTGTGTAATTCATAGAATGCCCTGTTGTGTTAACATGAGATGCTAGAGCGCATCTTTCAGGATGAAGCCTAGCATCACTTTTGTGTGATGTAATCCTTCCTTTAAGAGATCTGGAGGTCTGACCTATGTATATTTGGTTGCAGTTGTTGCAATTGATGGAGTAGACTGTGTTGGTTAAGCCAAGCAGCGGGACTTTGTCTTTCATTTTTGAAAAAATGCAGTTTATAGTGAGGACGGATTTGCAAGCAATTCGAAAGTTCAAAGGACTGCACAATCTGATCAGCTTAGGGGTCAGTTCCTTGATGTAGGGCAGGACAGCAAAACCAGGTCTGGAGTCCGGGTTGGTGCTTGTACTGTTAGGATTGATGTTATTATTGGGAATTACATCAGTTCCGTTATTAGGGGTTGTGCGACTATTACCTGCATCACCAGAGTTCGGCAAAATATTGGAAGGTGAACTGAAAATGATCTTGTTAATCAGACACTTCGGATAACCATTATTGATGAACAGTTTTGATAGTTTACGTAAATTTGAGGTGTGGAAGGTATTATCTGAGATGCTGATTACCCTTGTTTTCATCTGTTTACCAAATTGATTTTAATCCCTAGCTTATGGTATGACCTAAAATTGAGAAACCGACCTGAGGCCATAGGTTTCTGGTACCAGTCTACCAATAAACTGTTGTTGTTGGTGCGAATGAGTCTTGTGTCTAGAAAGGGGACAGACAGGTTCTCATCTTCTTTTTCAATGGTAAATTGGATGTAGGGGTCATAGCTGTTGAATTCTCTGACAATACCATCCAGACCTATGGAAGGGAGGCATAAAATAATGTCATCTACGTATTTTTTTATGAAGAAGAGATTATAGGGTAGTGTCGGAATAACAGTATCAAGCAGATCATCCATGACATATTCTGCCAAAATTGGTGACAGAACAGATCCCATAGGACAACCATGTGTTTGAGAATATATTTTGTTGTTGAAAGAGAAATAATTGTTATGAAAAAGGAATGTTATAATGTTGGTGAAAGATTCTAGAGATATGTTGCAGTGTTGACTTATCTCATTCCAGTGTTTATTAATAGTTCTTGTACATGCATCCAGATAGATGTTGCTGAATAGCGACACTACATCAAGACTGGCGATAATATGATCGGCTGGTATTGTCAATCTGTTGAACTGACGAGAGACTTCAAATGAGTCTTTGATGTAGTAATCATTATCTGCATGTGCTGATTTTAGTGTTGTCGATATTAATGAAGACAAAGCCTGGGTGGCTGAACCTATTGATGCAACTATAGGTCTTACTGAGAGTACAGGTTTGTGAATTTTCGGAAGTGCATAAAATTTGGGAGGGACAGAGTTATAAGTAGTCAAAGTTCTTTTTTGTTCTTGGGTTATTTGTCCAGTGCTGAGAAGTTCCTTAACAATGTCATTACTTTTCTTTTCCACTTTAAGTGTGGGATCTCTATTAATTTCATGATATGATGGGTCATCATTGATGAGATTGTTGCAAAGATCTAAATAGTGTTGTTTAACACATTCACTGCCCATACCCAAATACATGTTGCGTCAGGTGCCACTCAAGTTTTTTTATATAATAAGTTAAATTATGTCAAATTGGGGTTTTAAATGGATCCGATGATGCCATTTTACTTTTTTCTTTTTGGAAAAAACAAAAACGCACCGGGCGCGTTGTGGGCACAGGTCGCGAGTCAAACTACAGTTGGTGCCCATAACCGCGCTAGGCGCGTTCATTTCATCTCTATAGGTAAATGAAACAAAATTGGTTACATTTTATTTGTTTATTTTTAAAATATGTAACGGGAAATAAATAAAATGGTTATTGTTTTGCGTGAAAAACCCTAAAACATGGTGTAAGACAGAATCCAGGGCCGCCGGGACACTGAGGACAATAATAGACCGAATCCTTTCTCTGACCATTAGACCAACAAACATTGCACCTCCTCCTTTTAGCCTTTCCATTTTCTCCTTTTGGACAATATTCTGGAAGGTGCTGAAGATTAAGCATAGGTACGGGATCTGGTGGTTGTGGTCCAATCAATTTTCTAATAACATCTAATCTGAAGTCATACAAGCCTTTACGACTTCCAGTGCCTTTCTTATACAAATAAAATGAATTCAGCAACATGATTTGAAATATGTGGACGGCCAGTTTCTTGTACCAGATAAGAGTCTTATGTTCGCATGAATAGTATGCTAACATTTGATCGCAATGATCAATCCCTGCCATAAACTTATTGTATGCATTTATCATCATCGGCTTCATCACCACTTGACCACGTTGAGTAGTTACTTCGTCTAGTTGTCCACTAAATTCATTTGAAATAGCTAAAATTTCTCTGCGATCCTTCCACTTTACAACACAAATTCCCTCGGTATTGAATTGAATAATCAGCTCGCCCTTCTTTAATTTCTTGGCTAAAACTTCTGGAGGGTTCCCCCTTCTATTTGATCTCAGAGTTCCTGTGACGTATGTTTTTTTATCTAATAAATCCTTGGTCAATTTAACGCTGTTATAAAAGTTGTCCATGAACACTGAATGACCAACCCCTAGGTATTCTTGTAGAAGCGATAGGACAACTTTTTCTGAGTGAAGAGCACCAGATAATTGAGGATCAGCAGCTCCTGAATAAACGATTAATTTCAAGGTTAATCCATTTGGTTCACACAAGACATACAACTTTATGCCGAACTTGTGCCGTTTTCCTTTGATATACTGGCGGAATTTTAACCTCCCACGCCATAACACCATAGACTCATCAATCGATAATTCCCTGTTGGGATAATAAATAATCTGCATTCTGTGGTTGAAAAAGTTGACAAGTGGAAGGATTTTTCCCATTTGTGTGCGAGGCATCTGGTTATCGAGGTTCTCAAAATGCAGCGACCTCAGTATTAATAAAAATCGATTACGACTCATAAATGTTGAAAAGGCTTGCATGTTAAACAGATAGTCTTTTTTCCAGTAGTCGTTAATTCTGTTCACTCGAATGGTTCCCATATGAAATAAAAGTCCAAGGAACGTTTTTAATTCGTCTCGCGTTACGTCCGTCCAACGACTAATCCTCGATTGATCTCCCTCGCTTTTGGTAAGTAGCTCCACAGCATGCGCGTTAGCTTTGGCAGAAAGAAAATCAAAAAACTCTTCTGTGGCAATCAGGTTAAAATAATCAATTGGCTCTATTCCTTTTGAATTAACAAGAATACCTGAACCTCCTGTAAATGGGATTTTTGGACTATGTACTTCTTGGTAAAACCACTGCGAGGTAGTAGCAACAGAGGTACTCGGCGCAACTGGCGGACCTGGCATACATGTAACTGGAGTACCCGGCCGAGACTGTTGATCAATCTCCTCATCTGAATCGCTGCTGCTGCTAGCATTATATTCAGGATCGTCGTCACTGTCGTTCAGGAATGGATCTTCTTCTATATCTGATTCTTCCAAAATTGTACGAAGTTCATCATCTGTTAGACTCTGCTGCTTGTATGTTTTGTTTGTCCTCTGTTTCTTCATACATGGTTCAGTGTCTTGTCTTGGTCCAGGCATTTGATCTATGACAATCTGTAATACAACCACATCTTAATGTAAATGTATGCACCGTGCCCAGCAACGCGCCTGGCGCGGTGACCTAGTCGGACGGTGCATGATCGGCTCTCTATATCAATATTTTAGAATATATATTTATATATATTTATCATCACGAACGTCTAATTATCATTTTAAGTAATTATATTATACGACTCACCTCTTGAAATTCGACAACACAATTATTTCTACAAAATAGGTGAAATAAAAAAAAAACACGTGGTGTCTCTAAACCAACCACTTTGTATGGAAACAAAATCAGTACTGAGCGTGCCCTCGGCATATTCAGACGTTTACAGCCTTGCCCCCCACTCAAGTGATCGTCGAATCTTAGCGGTAACGGAACGCGCCCAGCGCGGTGTGAGCACCTGGAGGTGAAGCAAGTAAACGCGCTACGCGCGTTCCGGGCAGTGGATGTGTTAAGGGACATCCCTCGTATAAACAAAGAGCCCGGTATACCTACATATGGACGCAACTTGCAAACTTGTGTTAATAAAAATATTTAATCATTCTTACAAAGCTATGAGGAAGGTCTGGCTTTAAAAGCACCCTGTACGTCAGCGGTTCGAATCGCAGCACGGCATATCTTGTTACAGAGTATCTGTTGAGGAAGAAAATCTTCAAGCAAACTTTTTGTAAGCGTATCCCTCAACTTTGTTTTGTTTGGTTTCGCTGATCTTGCTAATCCTGCTCTCTCTCTCTGGCGCGGAAAATGCTGCAAAACTCTGTCACTTAATATTTGTTTTGTCACTCGGTGAACTCCTTTCTGGCTTTTTAGCGCCCAAAAGCTGAAGAGCATATGAATTGCTGGTTAGTATACCAATTTTATTGCGACGATAGCATTCACAAGAAACAAAAAACATGTCGCTTTAAAAACCTCGCTCAAGCCAGGATGCTGCTGTACCACTTATCTATACAGGGTGTCCGCAAAGTTGGGGTTTTCCTTTACAAGACGTGTAGATCTTGAAAACAGAAGCAATTTTTCTTAGTATCATATACACCAATGTCTTGAGGGAAGGGAGATAAAGGGCTCTGCAACATCAAAAATATCTGAATACCGCGACCCGGGACATCACCGATTGGTACAAGGTGTCAACCCGACGGCAGAACTGGGTCGGGGTCAGTGTGTCAGGTCAGTATGCAACCTTCAACCGGCGGTTACGGTCACGCATGCAGAGGTAATCGCGTAGACGAGAATCCCTCAACAAGCACTAGAGAAGTGCAAGTATCAAAAACTAAGGTGTGGCAAACGCTGCGTGAAGAGGGGCTGTATCCGTTTCACGTCCAACGTGTAGAAGCACTTCAACCTGACGATTTTCCAGCAAGAGTGCGGTTTTGTGAGTGGTTGTTGCATCAACATGACAATACTTTCACGCGTAATGGGGTGAATAACTTTCGCAACACTCATGTTTGGTCAGTAGAAAATCCGCACGCTGTCCGTCGGGCACATTTTCAACAAACATTTTGAACGGTATGCTCATTGGACCATTTATTCTCCCAAATCGATTGGACGGGATGCAATACCTAGACTTTTACGCAACATTTTGCCTTCCTTGTTAGAAGATGTGCCATTAAGTGTAAGACAATCAATGTGGTTTCTGCGTCTGCTCGGTAGCGCTTCAGCTGATTTCATTTTCTGTTGGAGCGGTATGATTTCGGGCAGAGACGTACTTAGCCCTTCTCGTCAACTGGAGAGTGAGTAGTTTTTCCTTTATTTTTTTTTACTTGGTCGCCCTCGTTTCACTACATATTACCTTTGTTATTTCAAGGGTAGTTGTTTCTGAAAAGGAAAACCAGAACTTTGCGGACACCCTGTATAGAATTCTACATCACTTCTCATGCCTCCGAGTTTTTTCGGTGTTTCAATTAGGAAAATCTGTAATATCAGAGCCGTAATCAAAAGCCCCGTTTACGCCGCTTCCACGAGAGCTAGATAGGTGCCATGAGCGCCACCTATGAACAAATAACACAATTGTCATTCTGCCGAAGTTGTTGCCACAGCATTTCGTCAGCACAGCTGGTGGCTTGTTTGTGAAGGAATTAATTTTCTGAGACATTTAATTTTGGAGAAACCTTGTTCGGTACAGTTGCAAATTCAGCAAGGCAATACGAATACGTGTTCTGCCTTAGGAGGTAACCCTCCTGGTTCCAGTCTCTTCAAGGAGTGGCGGTCGGCTTCAAGGAATGAAGTAAATCGTGGATCGTGATCGTGTGAACATTCGACGATCCTCGCTTGTTCGCATTTCACTCCCCAACCCAGCCGAGAGTTATGAACACAAACTGAAGACGTGAGACGTAACATAAGGGTAAAATAGGTGCCATCAAGCCCCTGAAGATACTGATTACTGTGACACATCCGAAATTCATAATACTTAATTATTTCAAGAACATCCAGTGTGTACCATCGTGCTTAAAACTTCGCTAAAACTCAAAAGCAAGGAACGAGGATGCATGGCCTACATTACTCGACCTGTTTTTCCATTGTTGTTTTAACTTCTAGTCATGCGTTCTTCTTTTTGAGTTTTCGTGAATTTCTAAACGCGATGGCATACATTGGATGATATGTTAGCCTTCTTGAAATAACTAGGTGTTATGAATTATTTCGCAACGCATCCCATGTATGTCAATAATAATAATAAAATAATAATAATAATACCAATAAACGGCTTTATTATCTTACACTCAACCTTTCTAAAGACTAAAGCTACATGCTAATTTGACATACAAATATGGTATTTTACATATACAGTAAATGATTTGATGTCTATGAATCTAACAAAAAAAAAGAAAATAATGGTTTAATTTATTCAATGATAATATGCTGAATTCCTAGAAGATGTTGTCTGAGATGCAGTTTGAAACGGATGCTATTAGTATTTGATATATCGATATTCCTGCTACAGATGTTAAATAGAGACTCTGCATTATACGTGAAAGATCTATAAAAGAGTGAAGTTACATACATAGGCATTGTAAAATGGTTTTGATGTCTCACATTGACATTATGTACGAGCCCCTTCCCACTTCAGTTGGCCCAACTATTGAAATCTTAGTTTTTTCTTATCAAACACAAATAATCAAACTGTAGCAGTGAGTTGAAGTAAAAACCCTAAAGTTGCACAACTTGTTTATAGGCCAAAGAAAAACTACTATTAACTCCACCGCAAAAGAAAAATCGGCTTAGATGGGCTAAAGAACATAGACAATGGACACCTCAACAATGGCGTGCAATACAATGGAGTGATGAGGCCTGATTCGAAGTTTGTGTTGGTGACAGTCGCAGTAGAGTTATTCGCAAAAAAATGAAGCTTTCCATATTGACTGTCTGAAGAGAAAAGTGAAATTTCATGCATCCATTATGGTCTGGGGCAGTATGTCATCAAAAGGAGTAGGAAAACTTCATTTTATTGATGGGAATGTGGATACAAACAAATATTTGGTAATTTTAGAAGAATCACTTTTACCAGTGATGGAAGAATGATTTCCGGCCAAGATTTTGTGTTTCAGCAAGATGGTGCAGTGTGCCATACCTCAAAAAAGGCTATAAAATGGATGGAAGAAAATAATGTACCAATTTTGAAATGGATTTCTAGCAGTCCAGATCTGTCACCTATTGAAACTTTGTGGCACGAGATGAAAAACGTTCTACGACAACATCCTGCTCGTACAATCACCGAACTGAGACGAAAGCTTCAAGAAATATGGGATTGTTTTACACCAAATTTTTGCCAAAACTTGGTTACCACTATGCCCCAAAGAATTTCAGCCGTAATAAAAAATAAAGGTGATGTTACCCAATGGTAATCTTTCAATTGTTGCTTTGTTAACTTCGCGCATTTGTTCGCACATTGTTTATTTGTTCAGATGTTCTATTAGTTATAGGTCTGAGTGATTTCAAATATGTATTTTTTACGACTAGAGTGTATCTAAAATGTTTTTGAGAAAATAAATTGTTATAGAACTAAATAGTTTCGTCATGTTTAGTTTATAAAGTCATATTTTGGTACAAATCTTGAAGTGGGCCAACTGAAGTGGGAAGGGGCTGACCTAGGGACCGGATTTTCTACTAAATATATTCTTAGAATATAATACAGGATTCAATGCTGTTAGGTAAAAATATTTGAACAGAGAATTGATATTAAGCCATTGTAAAAACCTGAAACTATTAGATATGTGGCCAAATCTCTGCAGGCACATTTGTGTCGAATAGTCCAGGCATGGATAAAAACTATCAAACCATAACGGATAATTGATAGCACTAACATTTTAGCCAGCTTTTTCCTCGTCTTTAAGTTAATAATGTCCTGATTGTCATACATTACTCGCAGTTTCAAATAACACCTCTGAGATATTGTTTTGATGTATTGTTGGTAACTTGTCATCTATGATCAAACCAAGTATCTTACAGCTAGTTGAAAAATCAAGTTGTTGTTCATTCAAGAAGAGGGTCAGACCACTGCCCAAGTTTTCTCGCTAGTGATCAGAACAGAAAAATACAAGTTTCGTTTTATCAGGATTTAGTTTCAAATTGTGTCCTTTACAATTGTCAGATACCGTTCTTAAGTCAGTGTTGATTAGATCACTTGCCTGTTCCACAAGAGATGGTTCAAAATGAAACAGAAGCTGCGTGTCATCAGCATAAGATTGAATGTGTGAGTACTGTACGGATTTCAAGATATCAGCTGTGTATATAATGAATAACAACGGACCTAAAGCAGAACCTTGAGGACCTCCTGATATTATTGTTCTTATCTCAGATCTCAGTAACTGCAAAATAAGTTCAACGCAGTATGGTCAAGGCCATAATGGTACAGTTTTGCGCACATAAGTGAACGGTCAGTGGTGTCAAAGGCTTTCGAAAAATCCAAGGATATAAGTAGAGTGGCAAGCCTCTTGTCTAGCGACCGTATAATTTCATCATTAAGAGCAGTGGTTGTATTGTCGTTAATACAATACAGTACCTCAATGGCCGACAT